TGACATCTTGTTTTATTGTACCAATAATTACATTAAAATCGAAAATGGTGAAATACACAATTTCTTGACGCGACTTCCCTGCTTTTTGCTGGGTCAGTGAAATTTCGTCCGATTGAACTGATTGCTGTTTGCTGAGGTCGTGGGATTGGATTATTGTGTTTGTGTGTGAACTGTTGAACGTCACAATAACTCCTTGTGACAATTTTCAGCTGTGATAAATTCCTACCGTGGAATTTACTTCCAACACGAACTATCAGTGGAGAATATCCCTCTTACTCTGGATATATTCTTCGCCGCCGAATACGATTACTGCACAACATTTCGTGTAGTGGGATTATTGGACCCCCAATTTAGTGAGTCTGTTCCATTCACTTGTCCATTTCTTATTGCCATTTGTTATTTCTAATCTGGTATTTTGATTGTATATTTTATTGAACACGCATACTTAGGTCCTTGTCTGCTACGCGTTCGCAATCAATGGAAACCCCGTGAGACATCCCAAATCTTTGCACAACCTGTTTGCTTTTTTCGCCCAATGTTGTTGGGGATAGTCATATGCACACTATCAACTATGTAAACCCAGCACGTACAAACCTACAACACAACTTCTTTCTGGTTTACTTCACTCGTGTCTTTGGCAGTTTCCCCGATGGGTTTCGAAATGTCACACACTAGCATGCGTTTTCGCATTTCGTAGATAGCTTCCCTACTTGTGGTGCCGCAGCCACCCTACTCAATACATAACCACCGCTTGATCTCGTCTGTTAATTGGGTCCCAATCTTCTTTGAGCTTGGTGAAGGTACAGTCAGTGGACCAAAATAAGAAGAAATAAGTAACACAATTATCTTGAAAAAAGTAACACTACTCGCTTTCTTAACTTTGCCACCGTTTTGACCTTCTTGGAGCAACAGTTATCCGCAGCATGTGCTCGTGCAGAGTGTGCTCTGTTACGGGCAGGGATACTTCCCGAGGCAACTTATATCAGGCTCACTCTTGCCTATTCCCGCACTACCCTATCCGCTCTGTTTAATGAGGGGTGCTTCACGTTGTCTAACTCTAAACAACATAAACGACACAAAAGTCAGTTCCCCATACCTGAGAACGTATTATACGCCACAAAACCTGGTAAGCACATGCACATTGCGGTATGCATCTGCTTGGCATGGTAGCTTACAACACGTCACCGTTTAGTCATGGTTCACACGTCACGGGCACCTCCGTTCATTTCTGTCGGAACGCGCCCAGACATAGAAAAAGCGCATGTGCAGAGAGTGACGCATCCCCAAGTTCACCATCGGTATGACACGTCCGGAATGCAGGTGCGTTGGCGGAGCTCATCAAACACGGCTTAGCAACATACGACCAGCGGAGTGGGCCTGAAATTCGCGAACGGAACACTGCGATTGGCCGTACAGAACTGACGAGTGAACGACCATATTGGGCCATTTAGTCACGCTATATATTTGCACAGGAGCTCTGTATGTTTTGTCCTGAAGATACAGCCGTGTCCCAAGTCCTCTGTCTTCTCATCGCGTAGTCTGGCATGCCCAGTGCAGGCGTAACCCATAGACGGCCACCCACGATACAACAGTTCCCACTGTCCCAACGGTAGTAACCGCACCATTCGCCTGCTCCGCGACCTATCTTTTCCAGCGAGCGTTCGCCGATTACTTGTTCGAATTGAGTGAACCGTTTTGCTGGCCTGACCGAATATAATATCCGGTAGCTGGGCTGCTTTAATAATGCGCAAGCCGCAATCGTGACTGCTTGGAGGCATGCCACTTTGCAAATCTGGTGACATGCACGAGGGGCGAAAGCATCGAGTGGTGGCCGGTATGTCTTGCGGGAAGGCCGCCCGGTTGAAGTTTACCCTGGTGAGTTCGTATACTCGCCACCGCTCCAGTAACATGGGTGCCCCGCTCATCGCCGGTGGTTATGAGCAAGGGACTGCCCAAATACGAAGCAACAACGAGGCCGAATTTTATCGTCACGCATGAGGGGTATTACCAACTGCCTCACTGTCTTCATCACTCTACACCCCAGCGGTGGATGACAGCTTAACCCAAGCCAAAGGCGAAGGACTCATATCGGATACCATATTTTTCGACTTCTCAAAAGCATTTGATTGGGTCCCACACGTCCCGCTGCTCCACAAACTCGAGTCTTACGGGATTCAAGGGAAAATCCTTCGTATACAATCAAATATCAGATTAGAAACAACAAATGCCAATAAGAAATGGACAAGCGAATGGAACAGACTCACTAAATTGGGGGTCCAATAAACCCACTACACGAAATGTTGTGCAGTAATCGTATTCGGCGGCGAAGAATATATCCAGAGTAAGAGGGATATTCTCCACTGATAGTTCGTGTTGGAAGTAAATTCCACGGTAGGAATTTATCACAGCTGAAAATTGTCACAAGGAGTTATTGTGACGTTCAACAGTTCACACACAAACACAATAATCCAATCCCACGACCTCAGCAAACAGCAATCAGTTCAATCGGACGAAATTTCACTGACCCAGCAAAAAGCAGGGAAGTCGCGTCAAGAAATTGTGTATTTCACCATTTTCGATTTCAATGCAATTATTGGTACAATAAAACAAGATGTCATGATACGTGTACAGTGTTTACAAAT